GTGTCGTTGACATCGCTCGTCTTGGCCCGTATAGGCCTCCCATGCTGCTCCTCGTAAGCTCTCATGGAATCATGACAAGTGCCATCGACGTTGCCAATCGATCGCGCCCCCGCGGACACATCTGGCGGTCCATATGCTGATGTCTGTCCGATATCGCCCGCCCTCCGGTCCATGCCCGCACCGTCGTAGAAAGACCTCGTAGGCAATGCGCTCGGCGCGGCCTGCCCCTGGGCGGCAGGATCAGCGGCAGAGGGGCGTGAGGGTGGTGGACACATAATTTCATGCATCCCCGTCAAATGCGGTCGAGGCTCATCTGTGTGCCCATCTCCAACGTCATGTGTGCTGGGCCTGACAATGCTGGGGTGTGCGGTCGATGACCCTCTGCGCTCGATGCCCCCCCTGAAGGACCGTCCACCATCTGCGTTCCCTGGCTGCGCTGTATCCTCGCTCACGCCCTCGCCTCCGTCCAAGCAGATAACTCCGGGAGGCCTCGCCTCTAAAGTCTCCGCTGGCCCTCGATGTGGCTCTTGCTGCGGGCCCTCATCTGGTGGATGGACTGATGACACACCGTCCGATAACAGCTGCGAACCATGACCCCCCTGCGCCAAAAAATCTCCACACGCTGCCTCTAGTAAACCTTCCAGACTACGTTGAGCTGCGACGTGCGGTCCACCACGACGGTTCCGTGCTACCTCCTCCGCCAACCCCTGCTCTACCGCCCACGGTGCACCGACATGAAAAATGGCGGGAGTGCCGGACTCTGGAGGATGCAGTACCGTGTTGCCGCCGAACTCGTCGAACCCTCTGTCACGACGCGCGTCATCTCGTCTAGCAGGCTCCGGTGGTGCCACAACCGGCAAAGTGGGAGATATCAGTAGCGATATATCAGGCAGAGATGCCAAGGCGGAATCCATGGTAAATAGCTCGTCGGTGGGCGGAAGACTGTCGGGCGGGCAGTCGAGGCCGATGTGGTGGTCCGTCGGAGGACGTTCGTCCTCCCCGTCCTTTCCACAAGTGGGAGTGGGTGCAACCTCTCCCTCCTCTAGACCGCCGTCACTCGTGTGAGGAGGCGGCTCACGTCGTGCCTCGCCGTCCTCCAAACCCGCTCCTGTGGAGTGGACTGGGGCGCCTACTGGAGTGCGTCGAGTCTGCGCCTGGTGGAGTGGACTGGGTCCTCCGAACTCCGTCTCCTCCTCTGTGCCAACAATCGGCGCTAGCGACCGGGGATGAGTGATCCTGAACCCTGTATCCTCCTCCGTCACTATCACATCAGTGTTCGAGGCTAGCTCCTCTGCATGAACCGGGTCGCGCTGCGTCTCGTTGGAAGGATCTCCCATCTCGTCCTCTGACACGGCAACCGGGTCCTGCCGCATGTCATGTGCCCCCGTGTCGATCTCAATGTGGACACGACGTCTGCGTACACGARACGCAATACTGTCATCCCGCCTACC